ATGAAGGTGGCTCAATTGAGAAAATGCCTCCATAAGATAGCTGTATCCAAACCTGTAGGGAATTTTCATAAGGAGTTATTTAAAAAACATTAGCCCATTTTGTGTATGCCACCCTGACAGGGAAGTCCTATGGCCTCTAAGAAAGCAGAATGAGAAAGCTGTAGGGTAAGCATCATCCCTCATAGCCTCTGCATGAGCTTCTGCTTCCAGGTTCCTCCCCTGTCTGAGCTCCTGTCATGACATATTTGATGGTGAACTGTGATGTGACTGTGAAAACGGAATTAACCCTTTCTTTCACCTGTTACTTGGTCATAGTGTTTCATTACAACAAAAATGACCCTAACAAAGATACAAACATTGAAGAATAAGTATCCACCTCTCAAATAGAAGATAATTCTAAAAAGCATGTTGATTTACTCTTAACTCTTTATCTTTGCAAATGACTTTTCTTAGTAACTTTCTTCTAGAGAATTTTCTTCTAGAAAAGAGAATCCATGGAGCGCCTGTATTAAATAATTTTAATACAAACTATCTCTATGATAACCAAAGACAAAAATGTTTGAGTAAGTGGTCCCATACCAAGTTCTACAGTATGGTGACAGAAATATGCATTGACTACTGTGATCAACTTTCCAAAGGTTTTATAACAATGAAAATATCAGACAAATCCAAATGAGACACACTGTGAGTAGGATATATGAAAATTATGTTTCAAACCTACAAAGCATCAGGAACTAGAGAAATACAGTATTCATAGTGGTATGTTCCCATCATAGCTTTCACAGGGAAAGTTCCATGTTAAAGACTGCCTCCACCCCATCACCCCCAAAAAATATGCTTCAAGAAATAAGAAACATAAACGTAGTGTCCAGGATGGAGGAGGTGGTGGATATTCTCTAGGTTCTTCTTAGGCATGCTGAATTCAGCTTTGCACTTCCCTTCCATGGTGATTTACATTACCAGGAATCATAATAAAGACCTACGAACTCCTACAAACTTTCTGTCTTTCTAATGCTGGGATTAAAGGTATGCTACCACTGCCTGGCTTCTATGGCTATGTAGTGGCTTAGCTCTGCATTCTGATCTTCAAGAAACTTTATTTGTTAGATCACAAACAAAATATCACTACACCTCCAAGAGCGAAGTTTTCATAAACCTGAACAATCTACAAACTTCGGACATGGTCATGCGTAACATGAAGGGGCCAGCTTGTTGGGATTTTCTGTCCTGCCCGGTACCTCCAGCTGTTTAGCCCCAAAGAAAATCACACATAGATCTCTATAAGTTAAAAAGCTGATTGGCCCATTGGCTCTAGCCTCTCATTGGCTGTCACATCTTCATTAACCCATTTTTCTGATCTATGTTAGCCATGTGGCTCAGTACCTTTCTTTAGTGGGGCAGATCACATCCTGCTGCTTCAGTGGTCTGGGCAGGAGTGGGGTAATCAACTTCCTCTTTCCCAGAATTTTCCAGTACTCATTACATCATTTCTACTTCCTGTCTGTTTTTCCCGCCTATATTTCCTTCCTGGCCAATCAGCGTTTATTTAAAACATGATTGACAGAATAGAGACAATTCTCCCTTACTACTTCCCCCCCCCCAAAAAAAATCACAAAAAAAAAAAAAAAGGAAAATATCCATAGTCCAATTTTGGGGAATGTGGGCATAGTATTCCAGGCTACTTCCAGCTGGTTGGGGGTGCTGATAATCTTATGGGGACCTAAAGAAAATTTAGAGTTATGATCAATCCTGACTGAAGTATCCTGTGAGACTTGATCATCTCAGGCAGCAGTCTTGAACCTGTTCTAGATGTAGAACTAACATCTGGGCCATCTATTTCTGCTAGATATTTCTCAGGTGATCAAAGTTGATTTTTTTTCTTGACTCTGAATAAATCCACAGCCTCTCATATTCTGTGAAACAAAAGCAAAATCTCTTCTCCAAAGTACCATACCTTCTGACTTTAATTTTGAAGCCAAGGTATTTTCAAAATATCTATCTTGGATTAATTCTGCAGCATTTATAAGCAAATATCTTTTAGCAGCTGTTGATCCTTCCTCAGCATTCAAACAATTTAAAGAGGGCATAATAACATACAGTATCAAGATTCTCTGTGTATTTCCATCTTTACATGGCTTTATTTTAACCTCATTTTTTTTATTTTTATTTTTAACTTTTGGCTTTTTTAGACAGGTTCTCTGTATATCTTTGTCCTGGAATTCCCTCTCTAAACGAGGCTATCTGTGAACTCACAGAGATCTGTCTGTCTCTGCCTCCCAGGCTTCTTTCTTTCTTACTTACTTTCTTTCTTTCTTTCTTCTCTCTGAGAACTTTAACCTTAGCCTGTATATATTTTAAACACATTGTAAACAATTTAGAGGTTTTCTTTCTCTTTGAATCTCTCTTTAGTTATGTATCTATGTATCCAGAGGCACAGTGAGAGAACTCCAGTATAAGCTTAGAAACCTCTACTCAGACAAACAGGGGTTGTAGGGGAAGAACCAGTACTCCCAGAAACAGTGGTTACCTGGAATGTGCTGCATTTGCAACTGTTTGATGTCATAACCTTTGGTTTTATTTTCTTATGAACAAAGAAATCTTCTAGAGTATCCTTTACTTCTCATAACCTATTAATATTGCTTTTTAATTGTGCATTAAACATAAGTGTTCCCCCACACTCCTCCAAGATGTCTAATTGCTCCTTGTCAAACAAATCAGCACGATAGATAGATAGATAGATAGATAGATAGATAGATAGATAGATAGATACAACATAGGTACAAAGATAGATAGATAGATAGATAGATAGATAGATAAATAGAGAGAGAGGAGTCTGAAATTATGAAACTTTTTAAGACAGCTTTGTAAGAATTTTGAATAATCTATGATTCATCCTCTTTATTTTTAAACTTGTGATAGAGAAAACACAATTTCCTTGAATTGATGTTACTTTTCAAAGTTAGCTTAAAAAATGAACAATCCGCAGTTTCCTACTTCTAAACTAATAGGACCTTATAAAAGTATACAGTTGTTATAACTTTTGCACAATTATATTTTTGAATATTTGCACTTTGGTAGAAATTAACTTGTACTTCGAAGTCCAAGCTAATGATTCCTTTACAGGCATATTGTGCAACTCAGACCACAAAATTCTCAGCCACAGATATTCACATCCTTGCAGACATCAGCTGTGGTCCCTGGTCCATAACTCTTAACCCTTCCCATAGCAGCTGAGTTTTCTGATTTTCACATTTTGTGTTTTTGTGAGTGCTTTTATTGCTCCCATAATTATTCCTCTGCAGTTTCTGTTGTTGGTTTGTGTTTGGTGTTCTGACTTCTGTTTTGTAGACTTGGAACTAGAATGAAAGTAAAGACAGGAAAAAACATCTGAAGTGAAGTACAAAATGGAGGAAGCACAGGGTAATACAGAGATTTTGAAAGGAAAAGTTGGGTGTAGTGAGAGAAGGGGGCTGAAGAGAGTAGAAAGCATGAGAATTTGGGAAATAAAAACAAAGCCTTGTTAAAAAAAAAAGCAAAATTGATGCAAAAGTTTTGTGTTTTATTACAAAATTGCATTAAATGTCCCCATTATGCTGACTATATAAATATGCAGAAATAAAAACTTACCTAGGAGCATGAAGACAGCCTTCTGCTGCCTGCTTTTGAGGTGGGAAAGTAAGAGTGGGGAATAAAAAGTAATTATAGGGAGAAATTCAGAATGCAAACAATTGAATGCTTCAAATATAAACTTGTCTCCATAGCAACCACTGAGAGGAAGACAGACGGTAACAAGAGACATCACATTTACAAACTTCCTGAGGCTGTAGGACAGCATCTCTAAGAACTGAGTAAAATTGTCCCACCTCTGCCCTTCACCTGGACCTTGGGAACTCAGTTCAATGCTCCCATGTGGGTCTCTGTCTCCATCTGTCACCTGATGAAGGTTCTATGGTGATATTCAAGACAGTCATCAGTCTGACTATGGGATCAGTAAGGACTGTGAGGGTTTGGTTCACCCACTGAGACAGTGTTCCTGAGCTAATGGGAGCTCACCAACTCCAGCTAGACTGGAAATGAACAAGCATGGGATCAATCTGGACCCTCTGAATGTGGTTGACAATTGGGTCAGACTGAGGGGCAAATGATAATGGCATTGGGATTTGTCTCTACTGCATGTAATGGGTTTTTGGGATCCTATTCTTTTTTGGACACATACCTTCCTAAGCCTGGATGTAGGGGGGAGGACCTTGGACTTCCCATAGGGCAGGGTGCCTTACCCTCTATTAGGAATGGAGGGGGTGGGGAGAGGGTAAATCAGAGAGCAGGAGGGAAGTGGGAACAGGGGGGGTAGTGGGAATTTTGACTGGTATTATTATTATTATTATTATTATTATTATTATTATTCGAGACAGGGTTTCTCTGTGGTTTTGGAGTCTGTCCTGGAACTAGCTCTTGTAGACCAGGCTGGTCTCGAACTCACAGAGATCCTCCTGCCTCTGCCTCCCAAGTGCTGGGATTAACGGCGGGCGCCACCACCGCCCGACATTCAGTAAAGTTCTTAAAACACTGAAGGAGTTCTACTTAGAAGTAGGTGAGACCCTATGCAAGATTCATCCCAGGAAGAAGCCATGTCCAGAAAAGACAGAGGGACAGACAGAGCTTATATCTAGAAACACAGCTGTGTGCAGAGCTTTTTAATTTCACATTTACCCAAAAGAGACATGACAGTGTGGAAACATAACATTCCCTGTGCATATGGTGAAAAGGTGGCTAAATATAGTGTTGTGAATCCCTAACAAGGAAAATGTGTACAGAGAGATACGTTAATGCTTCAATTTCTATTACTCTCATCAGTGTGTATGATGTCTTATATCAGCTCTGAGTCCTGCCTTCTGCCCAGGTCCAACTACAGAGCATGTTAATGACAGGACGATATGCAAATTAGGCTTCGTTGTGCCCATAAAAACTGGCATGCCCTGACCCTGCACCTCTGGCAGAGGAGACCAGCCCTGGATTCCCAAGTCCTCCCAGTCACAGGGTTCAGCACTGAACACAGACCGCTCACCATGGACTTAGGGCTTATACTGATTTTCTCTATCCTTATTTTAAAAGGTAATTTATAAAAATGAGATACTGTGTGTTGTGTGGACATGAGAAAGAGAAAAAATTTTTTTTTTTTTTGCATCAGTTTTCTAACCAGAGTTCTTTGTGTTTACAGGTGTTCAGTGTGAGGTGCAGTTGCTGGAGTCTGGGGGAGGCTTAGTGCAGCCTGGAAGGTCCCTGACACTCTCCTGTGCAGCCTCTGGATTTACCTTCAGTAATGCTGGCATGAGCTGGGTCCGCCAGGCTCCTGAGAAGGGGCTGGAGTGGGTCGCATCCATTAGCAGTGGTGGTGGTACCACCAGGTATATTGAGGCTGTGAGGGGACGGTTCACAATCTCCAGAGACAATGCCAAGAACACTCTGTACCTGGAAATGAACAGTCTGAAGCCTGAGGACACAGCCATGTATTACTGTGCAAGAGGCACAGTGAGTGAAAGCTGTTAAGAGCTCAAACAAAAACCCTGCTGTGGGGAACAAACGACCAGCAGGGGGCGCTGAGATCCCTTAGAAATCAGGGTCAGAGCCTGCTTAGAGAAAAATGGAAGACTGCATTTCTCTGTGTCTGCACTGCCTCTCCATATCGTATTTAGGGATTTTCTCTACAGGTATAGAGTGTAGTAATTCTTGAATGTCCAAATGTTTGTTCCAATTTCTTTTTCCTGTTGGTTTGTGTGTGTTTGTTACAGTGTTTCTCCTTGTTTCCCTTTAACTCTGTCTACCTGTCTCTCTCAGTGTCTCACTCTCTCTCACTCTCCCACTTTCTCTCTCTCTTTTGCTCCTCACATTTTCTCTCTAACTACTTTCCGTGTGTGTGTGTGTGTGTGTGTGTGTGTGTGTGTGTGTGTGTGCTGACATGATGCTCAACAGTCTCTGTCTTCCTCTTTTCAATGTGCGGCAGACACTGCTACTCATATGTGCAGTCTGCTCTCATTTTTACCTTTTAATTCAAGTCTGTGAGTTTAACTTGAATTCCAGCACATCCTGTCGTTTAATTACACAGTGGTCTTGAAAGGTCATGGAGTCCAGACTCAGAATAGGAATCACCACTGAGGGTGATGTTTCCTTCTACTTCTCCTTGTCCTCATCATTCTGTTTTTTTTCTTTGTTTGTTTGTTTGGTTGGTTTGATTTATCCTCCATACTCTAATATCCATGAGATCCATGTTTAGTAGATTGATCCTTTATAGAATCAGTTATAAGTGGTGGGCATCATAAAAGAAGAATTTGTGATTCCTTGTGTTTATTTTAATAGTGTATAAATGCAGTCATCCAAAACTATTTTCAGTAGGAAAAAAAATGATGTTTAAAAAGATTGAACAAGGCTTGTAGCTCTGTGCTAGAGTGATTTCTGACAATGTGAAAGGTCTTAAGTTTAAGAAACAAACTCACTTAAAAGTATGAATTAAGCGCTTAGACAAATAATATTTCTCACTCTCTTAGAATAAGTGCTTCAGGATTTCAGGAGAGACACAGGTACACCATGTAAGGAATGTATGACTGATGATGATGCTCCTTGTCACCATGTCCAATGTCCCAGGTCCAGGTGAAGGAGTCAGGACCTGGCTTGGTGCAGCCATCACAGACTGAGACCCTGTCTTTTACCTGAACTCACTGCCTTCTCATTAACCAGCTGTCATGCACATTGGGACACCAGCCTCCAGGAAAGCAATTCAAGTTAATGGGAATAATAAGGAATAATGAGAACACTGATTATAATTCAGTTTTTAAATCCAAGGTCACCATCAGCAGGGACACCTCCAAGAGCCAAGTTTTCTTAAAACAGTCTGCAAACAGCCATATATTACTGGATAAGACACATAGTGAGGGAACTCCAGTGTGAACCTGTACAAAAACTTTCTACAGAGACTTCAGGAACAGCAGGTGGTACTAAGGGCCAATGAAGCCTCCCCAGCAATAGCACAAGACATTTCAGTGTGTGCAATCAAAGCAGGTACACAAGCCCATGAAGGGGTGGCTTCTCTATTACTTGGGTTGCTCTGTGCATCAAAATCGTATTTCTCGTTGCACTCTTCTAGAATTTAGGGTTTACTAATCTTTAAGGAATCTGAATATTTTTGAAGTCCTGTGTCCACTGTAATGTTTATTTTTTATACAATTTGCAATCTCATCTAAACAAGATAGTATCATAAAGGGAAGACCTGGCTATGCTGTGGGCACCAGGGTCAATCTTGAAGTACCAAAGGATTCATTGGGATGGGGTACCTAGATTCACAACATAGCTTCATTTAATTCTCCAGTTAGAACAGAATTTGGGATTTTGGCAAGTGCCAACAGATCATGCAAGAATACCCTGGTACGACTATAAACCTTTAACCTTGACTTCCTCCACTCTCTTTATTGTCCTCATATGAAACATGAACATCAATTTTATCATCGACCCTGGCTATGCTCTGGTACTTAGATCATGGAACCAATGCATCTATAGACAGCAGCTTAGCTTCAGTAGCCAGCAGGAGGTTCCTGGATAACATTCTGCTTAAGGTGTCCCTAATCCTCAAGTCCCTTTCTAGAAATGATCTCAAATTGCAATGTAGTTTGTAGGTCTTAGGATCTATACTGGTCTTCTCAGATTGCTGGTGTATAATCAATTTGGTTTTGACTAAAATAAAATACTGTACATCTACTGAGGTATTTAAACACATTTTAAAATTCATCAGTTTTATTTTCATCATGTAGATACATTTCTCTCACCATTCCTTCCTCCACATAGATCTTACTTCCACTGATTCACTTGCAAATAAGTTTTATGGTCTCTGCAGTGATATCTTTGATCTGAATATCAAATGTCCCAGCTTGTGGCACCTGTAGGAGTCTGGGAAATGCTTGTGTGTTTTGGGCTACCCTCCATCACATTCTTGGAGCCTTCGGATTGATCTTACTGGAGAAGAACAACAAGCGTGTATTCAAATCAATGAGATAACATTTGTCAACTCAAATGTGATGAAAATAAGGATCTGTTTTTGGTCTGCTCACATTGTCATGGAGATCTACAGCACAGCACTCCTCCCATTCTCTGGGTCTTACATGTTCTCCACCTTCTCTACTGAGGTATTCTTTTGACATGGAGGAGGTAACATAGATGTCCACTAGACCTGAACACATACATCTGTTCTAAGCAATTTGAAAAGTTATTTGTCTCAGAATTAAGCATCTCTCCACTGCAAAAGAAGCTTATTGGATAAAGAATGAGATCAGCTCTAACTATGTGTTTAAAATAAATATATATACTATATTCACAATTATGTCCAGTTAGCAAAATGACTGTAGTAGGTTCTTCTCTAAGAACTATGGCCTTCCCAAACCTAAGGGTCTAGTATCAGGCATAAATTCCTTTACGTAAATTAGGCCATCTTCAGATTGATTCCCCAAACTGTGTGTAATGATGTCTTCAGCACTATGATCTTTTATCTATTCCTGGTAGGAAACCAGAGTCAATGTCAAGAACTTGTTTTGTTTGAGGAGCCTTAGGCCTTTCCTTATGAGTAATGACTCATATGGAGCCCTCTTACCCTGACACAAAGCAGGAAATAATATCCACAGCTTGAAGTGTATTTAAAGATAAGAAATATGAGATGTCATATCACTAAGCTTTATCTCCTATTAGTGACTGTTAGCCAAACTTGAGGAAATGGGATGGATGGGAGCCTTGACATATGGCACAAAAGTGATTCTTGAAATATGGACTAGATCCACCTGTCCTAAGTCATATCTTCATCTCCACATACACAATGAAGAAACAGTTATCCCATAACTGAATTTTATAAAGATGAAGGACATTGCCATAGAGTAATTTGGTACAAATAAAAAAAAATGAAGGGCCGTCAATGTGAGTCCTGATACAATACTCCTTGACTGTTTCACAGGGCCAATAGTGGGTGATTGGTTTAAACAAGGGGTAGTATATTCAATAAACTCATACCCTGATGTGACTTCCTACATGAAAACTTATCTTCCAGTTCTGTTATATCCTTTCCTATGAGATGCAGGATCCCATAGCCTATGGGATCACATAGCTCTCTAACACAAATTCTGACCTCAGGATAAAGAGGGCTGTTGAATACTGATGAGACAAATAGTCTTCTTGTGTGACTGATGACACACCTCTAGGTGAATGTCACCATTGTACACATATGTCAGTACAGAACTTTTAACAGCAGATAATTGATAGTGACTATTTTTTCTTATACTCAGGATGCTATCCCAGGTGACACTTCAGGAGACAAGACCTAAACCGATTAAGCTCTCATAGTCATTTTTCCTCACCTGTCTTGTCATTGGTTTCTACATTAAGAGCCTGGGCCTGGATTTGAGAGCTCCAAGGAAGGTCATAGAATGGGTGAGTTACATAAACAGTGGTGGTGGTGGCACCAGTACAAGAGATGATGGTTCATCATTAGTGAAGCATCTGAGAACCAGTTCTTCCTGAAACTACTCTGTGACCACTGAGGACACTGCTATGTATTGTTGGGAAAGAGACACACTGAGGGCACTTCTGTGTGAGCCCAGACACAAAACTTCTGGAGGAGCTTATAATCAGGAGGGCACTATCAGCAGAGAACAAACTAAAGAAATCAAATTTGGAACAGACATGAAGAAGAAACTGGAGATTTTTCTCTAGTCTATTTTTTTCATATTGTTTAGGATCTGCTCACTCAGAATATAATGGAGCTAATGGCTGTGTGCATGCTCTATGAGATAGGATGTGCTTAACAGAATGTGTGCACATACAGGTGCATCAGAGTGTGAAGTCATGTTTGCCATTGATCCTTGGATTGTAATAACTTATCAACATGATGAGGTCAGTTTAATTTCAAGCAAATATTTCAGTAAGAAATTTGTATGTGTACCCAAACTTAAGAGAAATGTGGATAGAAAGCTGAGCATGATTTCACAAAAGCACATCATGATCAGAAAGAAAAGATGCCCAAGTCTATGCCTGTGTTCTGATTTATGTGAATATCAAGTATTCATACAACATCATATATCATAGACAGCTATAATCCAACTGTGTATCTAACATTCACAAATATTTAGTAATATAGTCATGCACCAACCTGCCTACCATCTATCATTTATCTATGCACCAAATGACATGACATTCATCTATCTATATTAACTGACTTAATAAGATGGGAGCAGAACTGAGTTTACTATGTACAAACTGGTGTTTCCATATGTCAGCAAACACATAAGAAACATTAAACTATTGTTACTACAGTGTTAAAATTTTATCATGACCCTTTAATAGTTCCTGTTCTATATTTCTTCCCTATGTGAAGCTTAAACTGCATTTCCTAGAACTCACATCCCATAGGTTCAGCACACTCTACAAGCTCGGGCTGCACAGTGAAACTGCAGAGACACTTCTGCATAACAATGTAATCATTAATCTGGGTTTTCAACTTGACAGGATCAGAAATTAAA